CTCACTCTCCCTCTCTCTCTCCCTCACACTCCCTCTCTCTCTCCCTCTCTCTCCTTCTCGCTCTCTCTGTGGTTCCAAGGATCAAACTCAGGACCTTGCATTTGCCATCCTCTCTTCATTTCATTACAACAAAAGTATTGAAAACTCTTGTTATTTATACCCCATATGCTTATGACCATAATATAGAAGTTCTTACAAAATATATGTTCATATCATCTTCATTTGAAAAATCAGTAACACCTCATTTAAAAAGAGTAAAAATGGCATCTTGTTGGTTTTTACAGATGATCTTGTCAGTTACTCACTACAATATATAGTCTTACTGGGTATAAAAGTGTTAGACACATCCCAGCAACTGCTGGAGCAAATTAAAATATGGAATCAATAATTAATTGCTTTTACAATATTAATCACAGTTTTCTTTTTTGATAACCCTGAAATCTATTGGAATATTATTAGGCAACTCAGTATAGCAAGGCCTCAAATATTAGAGAATGCAGTTTAAAAGAAACATTGAATTGCAAATGTAGGTTTGAAAATGGTAATTGGTTCATTTAGTAATAGAATCCTTCATTGCATATGGTTGACAATGAAGTAGATTTCTGTAAAATGTCATAAATTCAGGATGTGAATTTTGATCAGTTTTTATATAGATTAGTAAAGATATAAATACCAGTATTTCATTCTGAAATAAATTTTTCCCATCATAGATTCTTCTTTGTTATTCCTCAGTGTTTCATTAATTTAATTTACTATTTAAAAATTTAAATTGAGAGAAGAAAAATTTGTACTAATAGTGTTTGGACAGGATATCATGTCTGCATCTTGTACTATGAATAACCACTACAAAGACAATATGCAATGTTTTAAATATTGAAACTGTCCTACTAATCAGTTTTGAAACTGCCTCAGTGCTATTAGTTTCTCAATAAAATTAATAAAAAAAAGAATTTTAGAATTGCTATTACATCATTATTCCTATAAAATATTTGACTATGCAAATAATATTGGGTTTTACTTACTTGATATTCAGAAGTTTATTTTGTCTAGAATTATGTTTATGATTATCATAGAATAATTGATAACATTTATTGGTTACTTATTTGTGCAAAACACTGCTACAATAATTTTGAAGGATTGGAATTTTAAATTTTCATAAAGATCCCATTTAACAAGCATTCTTATTATTCCCAATTTCAAAAGAAGTTCTATGAATTCCATTATGCTATTCTGTCAGTCAAAATAAAATATTTTGATTAAAAAAAAATAAAAACTTAAATTGAATAAAATTTAATAATTGAGTGAAATTGCTTTAAATTATGAAACTATTATAGTATTAAAATGTTGATTAATTTAAAATATTTGAACATACAAATTTAGTACCACTTATGATGTAAAACTCTTCTGAGCAGCCAGAGACAATTGTTCTTAAAAATGGCGTTGACAAGTAACCCTCTGACATGCACTAGAGTACGCAGTAGGCGCTAGAATAAAGCTAGTAAGGGCGCAGCCTGTTTCTCCGCACCCTGCCTTCTTGGGATCTATAATTTGGTTCAGTTAACTGAATGTCCCAGCAAGCCGAGGCTACACGTCCGCGAAGTGAAGGGACCTACACGCTCAGTCTGAGGGTTAGCTCACTCGGTTTGTTAACAGTTAAGTAAAACATCATTAAATTTTATTATAAAATATAATTTCTAGGTTTTATTCATCCCAACCCTGTCGCAAAAGTACAGTAAAGATCATTTATCCCATGAGTGGATTGTTCTCTTCACATTATGTCAACTGAACTGAGTATAAGTAAACCCCTGTCCTGCTACAGGGTGCGACATGAAAGCCGGAGCGCGCATGAGACTCCACGAAAGATTATCTTTTTACAACTTTATGACCGCATGGATTATCTGGTTATATAATATAGAGTTATAGGCCTCAAATGAAATAAGTAAAGACAAAACTGCAGGCTATTTGAGCACACAGCGCGGACAGCAGGTTACGGTCTGTCCATAAATACGGAGCGCTGAGTGGACAGTCTGCCCTCCTCGCCCACGGCTCGCAGCACACCGGTCACCAGCGCCTGCGCATCCACAAAGGCGGGTCAGTTTCACCCGCCTTGTCATAAGACAAAGAACCACAAACAATGCTTCAGGAGTGTCCCACATGCATTGCCACCCAAATTAGAGATTATTTATTATTTTCTATTAGCTGAGATTTACGCTGCCCGAGACTGGACGCTGTGACTGAGCTGCCGTAGGTCATGTGCCTGTCATCAGTTCCATCACTGAAATTGAGTTCAGTGCCTTCTGATCGGTTACTGACCCGTCTAATGAGCTGTGGACATGGGCTCTGGTGCGCTGTTGTCAGGTCCAGAGCCTGCAGGCCTGCACTGTGCGGCCTCCCACATGGCTGGGCCTGGGCTTTGGCTTCCTGGTGAAGGGGCACAGGAGACGCCTGGGCTAGCTGGATCCCTCAGGAGGTCACACCTGCGGCACTGGGAGGAATGAATGAGGGCAGCACGAGATCCGGGCCTGCAGTGCCTACTGAGAGTGACTTGCTGATTTGGGTTCTGAAATGTGCTTTTCCTAGAAGTTATTCTTATATTTCCAAATCTTATAACCTCCTAAACTTTGGTTCTTCTATACTTAAATTTACTGCGACCACTGACCCACAGTTTTGCTGATCCTTTTGTCTTGATTCCGTCCACCACCCTCCGTTCTGAACTTACCCATAGCCTGTAGAGGGCAGGAACTGATGAGTGACAATGTGACAAGTGGCTGTGCTGGAAAGCCCTGCAGAATGTTTTGAATTATCATCATATATTGCTAAAGGACATTCCTCCCTCCACACATTCCCTAGCACTTGCTAGCAGGGCAGCAATCCATCAATCTTATCTGTGCGTCAGCTAAATGAAAGCCGAAAAGAAGAAGGTGCGCCTCTCAGGGAGCAGACTCCAAAGTTCTGTGGCATTTGCTTAGGGGCAAGGCGCGCAGCCCCACCAGCTCCCATGCTTCTGTTGTGTCCTGCCTTCTTTAAGCCCTGGCTGAGCTTTCAAATTAGCACTTTCCTAGAGGCTGGGGTCCTGGTGCCTGCAACCCTGCCGCTGCAGAATAGGCCACCTCATGCTGGGAGTGGTTTGTCTTTAACTTTGTAGTTATATTAATAACAATTTTGTAAAACACCTGTAAGTCCTTGAAGATTTTTCACTTTCTGTCCTAAGGAGTACCATGAGTTGTGTAGGACAATATCTGACACGCTATATCTACCCAGTAAGACTTTATAGATATCAGTCATTTCACGGAAATCCATTTTCCCTTGGACTTCTCTAGAATAGAAGTAGAACCAAGCTACCTCTCACTGGTGCCATGCAACCTTTGTCACTGCCTTAGCATGGACAGTCAAGACTCGAAAACTGGAAACACTCGGTAGTGACACCCCCTGTCCTCCAGCACCTGAAAAACGGGAATTAGAGATGCAAGCTCCCTTGCTAAGACCTGCCCTGCTTTCTCTT